GTCTTTCTCAGGTTATAGCCTTATATTGCTTCCATAACTTGATTCCCCATCTAAATAAATACACAAATAGAACACATACAAGCAAATACCTTATAGTTATCACATATACACCAACCCTCTTGAGGATTTTCAGGGGCACAAGCATCTTTGGGAATAACCTTACAGAGGATGCTCAGGGACAGCTGCTATGCAGAGACCTTGGGTGGCTGGGAATGACCCCAGTTGCTGTCCCACGTGGCTGAAAGACCTCCATTCTCTATCTCTTCAGAGCCACAGAGAGAAAAAGAAGCCTCACTGGATGGAATGAACTGTTGAGTGTGCAAGTAATGAAAACATGATTTTGTGTCAATGATGATTACATTGAATACGTACGTCCCTGCTTTAAATTCCTATTTCAGGCTTTGAACTTGAAAAGGGTCCTCAGTCCTCCACCCCAGGTAAAGAATGAAATGTGGCTGAAGTCCCATCACCTGTTCTTGTGCCTGTTCTCAGACAGGCCTAGAACCAAAGAACACAGAAATCAGAGTAGAATTTAAGATACTCTCAGCTTTCTCTGAGTCTAAAGGAGAAGCAAGGACTCATTTGGATTCACATGGATGCCTAGGGAGACATGAAAAGGTGTGGCTGGATTCCAGGTGTGTGAGAGAACAGTGCACTATTGGCATGGGCAGAGCCAAGGGTCCTACTGGGGAGTGGAGGTGACACAAAGACGTTCTCTACCTCTATCTGCAAGTCTGCTGAGGATCAATGTTGGGGTCCAACCCCAACAGGTCCAGGGGTCCCCAAAGGTGTGGACGGAGTCGGCGAAGATGGAAAGACACGGAGACAGCGTTCAGTTGATCAGCAGCCTAGCCAGGATCTCTAGCCAGGAACTCCAGCCAAGTTCTGGTCAGGATCTCCAGTGAAGTTCTGGTTAGGATCTTCATCCAAGTTCTGGTGCCATGTTCTCTTGCTATCTCCAGCCAGGTTCTCCAGCCAAGATCTGTAGCCAGGGTCTCTCGCTAGGTTCTGTTTCTAGGTTCTGTCTCTAGGTTCTTCAGCCAGGTTCTCTCGCTAGGTTCTGTTGCCATGTTCTATCTAGGTTCTCCAGCGAAGTTCTGTAGCCAGGTTCTGTCCAGGGTCTCCAACCAGGTTCTATCCAGGTTCTCCTGCCATGTTCTCTCACTAGGTTCTCCATCCAGCTTCTCCAGGTTCTCCTGCCATGTTCTGTCTAGGTTCTCCAGCCAAGTTCTATAGCCAGGTTCTGTCCAGGATCTTTTGCCATGTTCTCTCCCTAGGTTCTGTCTCTAGGTTCTGTCCCTAGGTTCTGTCCCTAGGTTCTGTCTCTAGGTTCTGTCTCTAGGTTCTTCAGCCAGGTTCTCTCGCTAGGTTCTGTTTCTAGGTTCTGTGTGTTGTTGTCTTGTTACATCTGTATTTATACTAGTTGATTCCAATCTATCAATCTCTATTCCAAAGGTTAGGGCGTTTCTTATCTCCATTCCAGGGAGTAAAGATTATGTAGCTTAAGCGTGATTGTTCGTAGTTAAAGTGATTAACTACCCGCCTGGCACTTAGTTAAGGGGTTTCATTCCCTCCCTCACTTCAGGGGAAAATTCCTACCTGGGGAAACAACCTTTCTCGGAGAGGTGACCTTGGTTAAAACACATAGCGCCAAGAAGGGGAGCAAACATATTAAGAACAGTATGCCATATACGCCAGGTCCCTTGAAACATATGCTGTGCAGATGTTTCTTCTCTGCAGCGACTGTGTCAAGCAGCAAGGATGGACCGGCTCCCGGCAGATCAATGTCCATGCTCTCCCCAGACCTCTGGAAGACAGTCCTTACCTCCAGGAAAACCAATTCTTTGCCATTGTTCAAGTAAGAAGAATGTGCATCTTTTGGGTGTGTTCCATGCTATTGTATACATACTTAGTGAGAGGCATGTAAGCTGGCCTTTAGACTCACTCACACACTCACTACTTCACCCTTATTTGTGCATTTTTCCTGCTACTCTTTCCTCACCCACAATTTCTTCACTGAAATTTCTGCTGCATCACAAACACATCCTGCTCAAGGACAGGTCCAGATGCATGTAGTGATTGATTCTATTTGTGACGCTCCACCGATTCTCATGCTGGAAATCTTTCTAGAAGAGGCTTAGAAACTGGAATGAAGCCAGAGGGTGGAGCTTCTAGGAATCATTTATAATCTGCCACTTGTTGGGGTCCAACCCCAGCAGGTCCAGGGGTCCCCAAAGGTGTGGACGGAGTCGGCGAAGAAGGAATGACACGGAGACAGCCTTCAGTTGATCAGCAGCCTAGTCAGGACCTCTAGCCAGGATCTCCAGCCAAAGTTCTGGTCGGAGTTCTGGTTAGGATCTGATGTTTATTGTCTTGTTACATCTATATTTATACCAGCCGATTTTAATCCTGTCAATTTCTATTACAAAGGTTAGGGCGTTTCTTATCTCCATTCCAGGGAGTAAAGATTATGTAGCTTAACTACCCGCCTGGCACTTAGTTAAGGGGTTGTATCCCCTCCCTAACCTCAGGGAAAAATCCCCACCTGGGGAAACAACCTTTCTGGGAGAGGTGACCTTGGTTAAAACACATGGCACTAAGGAGAGCAAACATATTAAGAACAATATGCTATATATGCCAGGTCCCTTGAAACATATGCTGCGCAGATGTTTCTTCCCTGCAGCGACTGTGTCAAGCAGCAAGGATGGACCGGCTTCCAGCAGCCACTTACAGAGCTCACACACACAACTAGACACAATTAGGAAGAGCTGCCCAACAGGAGACGCAACAATGGCAGTGGTACAGGTGAGTTGAAGTGGCACAGACTTCAGTGATCCCAGGTCCCGTAAAGGAAGGAGGAAAGAGTGCAAGATTGTTTAAGATGAAAATATTTGGGGTATTTGGTAATTGTGAATGTGTGGAAGAGAGACCCTTGGCATATGATGATGGAATCCTTATGGGGAATTGTGTGTTGACCCTGGGCCAGTGTAATCCAACGCCAGCATTTGGTGGTGTCTGACTGAGTGTGAACTCTATTGAGACACTGTGACTTTGTGTGGGAAGTGAACAGCTGACTGGGATGAGGGACTGTGTGTGTGGTGCAAGGGGTGAGATTGCACATTTGTCTTTATGACTGTGTGTGTGTGTGTGTGTGTGTGTGTGTGTGTGTGTGTGCAGCTGGGGCAGAGGTTGAGCAGTTGGGAGTGTTGGCAGGTATGTGATATGGTGATCCCATGTCTCTGTGTGACTCTGTGTGGTTCTCTGTGTGTGATAACCTGTGACTGCGTGTTGAATTGTGAATGTCTGTGTCTGCATGTGAGTGTTCTCCCCTACGTGGTAGTGACTTTTAAGTAACTGTATGTCTTTCCGTGAGTATCACTGTGGGTCCTGGTGGGCAGAACTGGAGGGCTTGAGGAGAGTGGGTTTCCCAGGACTCCTCCCTGAGCGTTAATGAGAGCAGAATGAGCCAGTCCTCAGAGCCTCTTCTCAAGAAGCCGGAGGGGAGGTGAACTCAGACTGTGGGGCACTGGATCTCCTGTCTAGGTCAGCACCCAGTGACCCCTGCTCCTGCCTCAGGTCTCCTCCCCAAGTCAGTCCTTCCTCTGTCTTAAAAACAACAACAAAAAAGGGTGAGCAGATCCTGACTCTGGGGAAGGTGGTTGTGGGAATTGGTTTCAGAGAATGGATCACCTGGAGATGGAAGGAACAAAATCAGCTTCAGTCCAGACAAAGCTTACAGTAGATACCAATGAACAATGTGTACATTTTCTTTAATTACTTTCATCAATTACTGCCCGCCACCCTGTGTGCAGGTACTGGCTGTGTCCTCAGTGACTTGTGCATGTTCCTGAAAGAACATGCGTGTCCTTGAAAATTCTGGTGCATATATAGCCCACACACAGGCGTCTCCTTTTCCATGATCATTGCTCTCTCTTTTAACAAATGTTTTTCATTGGAGTGAGTATATATATTTTTATAGTTTTGTCTTGTCTTTACAGTTTCAGATAGGAAATGTTCAGAGGGTGGTACTTCAGAAAGGGCCCTTCCCCTTTGGCTAGGTCACCCCTCTTTAGACCCTATACATACCAGTGACCAGGTTAAAGGTTTTACATCTGTTAGCTCATCTGTTACTGAGAGCTCCCTCTGAAGTAGGAATTTCTGATAATCCTCCTTCTACTGAGGCGACAAAGGCAAGGAGAATTCAAGTAATTGATCTACGGTCTCACTGCTAGTAAGAGACAAAATTAGAATCCAGGAGGCCTGGTTCTTGAAAGCTTGCTTTCAATGACAATTCTCTGATTTCTTCACGGACACGGGGTCCTGACTGTGATGAGGTGGGAAGAAGGGGGCCCTCGGAGTTTGTCCTTTGATGTTTATCCTGCTTTGCCACTAGGTGTTGTAGGAGGGGAGACCACACCTGGCTTTGTCCCTCTCATCTGCTCTCTTCTCCCATGGCAGGTCCCATACACAAAAATTTCATCCTTGAACATTGGTTCTTCAGTGACAATCAAAGGGACACCTGCCATGTCTTTCGTGTGAGTACTCTATAGCCTATGGTGGGAAAATGAAGAAGTGAGGTTATTGTAGCTTTGGAGGTCACTTCATGCAAGAATGATACTGAAATGTGTAATTAGCATAATGGTAGCACAATGCGGTTGCAGTTCCTGGAGACCCATCCGGTGCCAGGATTAAACCTACAGGTGCATGTCTGTGGGTAAGTGTTGAAGTCTGGGGGCTGGGGTCACTCAAGCATTGGGGCTGAGGTTTATTATCAAGGGACACAGTATTTCCAGGACATGAAAAGTAGCCCCAGGCCAGAGACTGCTGCTCGGTGTGAGTCCTGGGCTAAGAGATGAGGCATCTCCCCACCCTGGGCAGGACGAGCTGAAGCAGCCCCACAGGGACAAGTACTGCAGTGTCACTCAGGAAGGCCTTCCTTCCCCCAGGAGGAGTTGGGGAGGGTGTGTATGTGTGTGTTGAATGTGGGCCCCCATGAGGAAGGGTCCTGCTCCACATGCTGCGTGCTTTGCCTTCAGCATGAGCCCAGAACTGCAGGTGGATTTCCACACTGGAACTGAAGAGGACTCAGACATCGCCTTCTATTTCCGAGTGTACTTTGGCAACTGTGTGGTGATGAACAGCCGTCAGTTTGGGGACTGGAAGTCAGAGGAGAGATACGATGGTATGCCTTTTGTGGATCGCCAACCATTTGAGCTGTGCATCTCAGTGCTGCAAAATGAGTACCAGGTGAGTGTACCCAGGAGCATCCACTACATGGGCTCTAAGGGCTCTCTGAGGGGGACACAGCTCTCCCTGGCCTGGCTCCCAGAGTCCCTTGTGGCTCATCTCCTGCCCCTCTCATCACAGAGCACCCTCTGCTGGTACTGCCATGCTCAGGTCAAGATCAGCTCACATGCCTGAATTTCCTCTATCTTCACTTGCAGCCATGTTTTCTACCTGTGCTGTCATTCTTTGTTTTCATGTAGGATATTGTTAAAATATGCATATAAATAATTATATTTAGTTTAAAATTGAGTGTTTTCTACATTCCTAAATCCAGTCTCTCTCCAGAGCAACAGTTACTAGTCCTTTTGTCCTCTTTACAGAGATATTATATGCTTGTACAAGTCTATCATCTATCATCTATCTATCTATCTATCTATCTATCTATCATCTACCTATCATCTATCATCATGTATCTGTATCTGCTTTTGTTTCTTTTTAAATAAATGATGTTATACGTATTTCTAGTAATCACACATTGAGGACTAGAGTTTATTTGTTGTAAAAAAAATGTATGTTAGATGCCCTAGCTGGTTTGGCTCAGTGGATAGAGATCGGCCTGCAGACCGAAGGGTCCTGGATTCTATTCCGGTCACGGGCACATATCTAGGTTGCAGGCTTTTCCCCGGACAGGCTCTGGTCAGGGCATGTGCAGGAGACAACCAATTGATGGGTTTCTCTCACATTGATATTTCTCTTTGTCTTTCCCTCTCTCTTCCACTCTCTTAAAAATTAATGGAAAAATATCCTTTGGTGAGGATTTAAACAAATATATAATAAAAAATAATAAAATAATAAAAATGTATGTTAGAGAAATAGTTCTGCTTGAGATGTCCCCACATTATTTAATGTTCACCTAATATTCCAATAGAAGCATTCTCAGAATGATTTAACTTGACCCTTACTCATGCACATTTAGGTGGTTTCCATATTTTGCTCTCATGATTGAAGCTGTATTCTATATAACATTTTTGTCATTATCAACCTCCCAGTGCTTATATGGGAGGATAATTTCAGAGAAATGAAATAGCTGGTTGAAGAAGTGTGTGCAATTTAAATATGAAAAACTAAGACCTTAAAAAGTTGACTTTTTTCCCATAGCCATGGTAATAAAGTGTATATTTAAAAATTCTGACCTTTCTAAATGGGGAAGCAAAAAATTAACATCTTTTTATGATTGAAGCCAGCTATCTTTTCATATGCTTATAAGCTGATTTAAATTATCCTAATTTAAAATCATATGTACAATTCTACCTCTTTAAGAACACTCAAGCCCTAGCAGGTTTGGCTCAGTGGATAGAGCGTCAGCCCTCAAACTAAAGGGTCCTGGGTTCAATTCCAGTCAAGGGTACATACCTGGGTTGCAAGTATGATCCCTGGCCCTGATGTGTCTCTCTCACATCGATGTTTCACTTTCTCTCCCTCCTCCTTCCACTCTGTCTAAAAAGCAATGGAAATAAATATCCTCGGGTGAGGATTAAAAAAAAAGAAAGGATACAGACACTTAGGATTCATGAGACACAGTTCCTGGCCATGAGAATCTTCTAAGCTAGAGAGAGGGCCTGGCAGACATAGACAATGCAACAGGAAGTGGTAGCACTTCAGTGGAGGAATAAGAGAATCTCAGAAAATAGAATGAACAACTGTCTGAAATAGTCGCAAAATGTAGGTTATAAAAAGAAGCGCGCCTACTGACTTTTGAAATGTGACTGAGAGTTTCTGGGTGGATGGTGTGTCTATAGGATAGAAGTGGAAAGAAAGACGGTAAGTCTGTTTGGTGGCCTACTGTATTTATGATACATTCCCTTCCAGATAAAGATCAATGGCCGTCAATGTTACAAGTTTTCCCATCGACTCCCGCCACAAAGTGTGAAGATGATCCAGGTGTGGAGAGACGTCTCGCTGAGTTCAGTGAGTGTCCAGTAGGGAAGGATGTGACCAGAATCCCCGTTGTCAAGGAGATCCCTCCACCTCAGTGACCCTGTGATTCCCAGAGCTGGCTAACAACATGGGTTCTCACCCTTCCCCCACACTTGGTCATTAAAACTCCTGAGAACTTAACAAGATTTGCTTCTTTCTTCTGAGGGAAAAAAGAGAAAAAAGATTAAGTGCTCAACACTAAAAGGGGCATGAGAGTACTGTGGGAGAGGTCAAGGAATCAAAGAGGACAAATACTTCTCGGACACATGGAGTGAGGGACAGGGTCATGAGATGTCTGAGAAGACACTGGTGACAGTATCCTTATGTGGTTCTTACGATATGTCAGACACTAAAGCAAAATCCTTCCCCAATTTCAGGCAACTAAACCAAGATATTAGGTATCTGTCTCAAGCCACAAAGCTATAATTGGTAGTTGGGGAAGGAACTTTGTATTCGGAGGACAATCAGGTGAGATTTCTTAAATCTTTCTTTATTCCAAGGATGTTTAATATATATATTTTCACTGTGCCTGGCTTTGTGTGAGATGCACTGGGAAAAATAAAGAAAATGACAAGGCCAGCACTTAAAAAGTTTTCATCCAAGAAATAGTTGGAAAACCAAGATTTACCTCAAAGAATCTCTTTTTCCTATTACTCAAACAATTGCAAGATTTTTTTCAATTTATGTGGGCAGAAACCTGGGACATGTTTGGTAATGAACTGTTATGATTTTAGACCAGGGAGGATAAAATTATTGTTAAAACAAGAACAATTTATACACGGGATGCAGGGACCTGACTCTGGCTGTGATGCCCCACAGAATCGTTGCAGAATAACAAACCTCTCCAAAATATATTGTTTTAAAACAATAATTTATGATTCTGTCTCCCAGTGTTGCAGGTGTCCTGCACTCATATGGTAGTGCATTTTGTGGTTCTAATCAGATGGTAGTGGGAAGTGGAGTTTCCTGATGGGCGCTTTCCTCGTGTCTGACTCTTCACTTGAGCTGGATGAAAGAGCTGGGGGCTGGCTGGTTGTTTCTCTTTACACAACCTTCATAGCTGTCTTAGACCTCATCAGCTCACTCAGGCTTCATGGCTTCCATAGTGATCCCTTGAAAAGCCCCAAGCAGAAGGTGTAAGGTGTAATAGGACCTCGCTCTAGAAGTCATGCAATGCCACTCCCTTCACATCCTAGTGTTCAAAGGTGAGTCAGAGAGACAGCCATAATCATGTGGAGGAGACTACACTAGGGCACGGGTATGACTTGTGGTTCATAGAAATCATCCTAAGAGACTAGCTACTGTTCCACCCTCAGGCCCCAGAGACGTTCACACTTCCCACAAACCCAAAACACTGATTACTTTCTATGGAATTTCCAAATGTAATACAATTACAGCAATAAGCTTGGGACAGAAGTCCAGCACCTCACCATCAAAATCAGGGCCTGGTGCTCATGAAGTGAACTGATTATAACTTCTCAGGTGCAGTTCCTCTCAATATGTGCACTAAAGGGACAAAATGCCTGCCTCATACATGCCAGACATACGTGCTGAAACAGACACAGAAAAAAATGCAATCCACACCTCAATTTTAATAGGCAGCCATAGGAGGTGTATAGCAGCCACTGCTTCATTTCATATCTGAAAACCAGCCAGGCTCATATCTACCTTTTTCTTTGGAATTGTTTCTCTGCAGTAATAGCGTCCACCCTCCTTTCTCAGCTTCTTTGAGTTCCTGCCTAGATGTCAGAATGACTATTCTAGGGGCTCTGATAATCAGCCTCTTAGCAAGTCTGGAGAACCACTTAGGAGACACATTACTTAGAAGAGATTATTCATAAAAATAGCCACGACAGATTTAAGAACGTCTTCTGGAAATAGCCTCTTTCTCCACAAGGACTACCTTGGGCATCAATCACATGATCTCTCACCATGTCCATTGCCACAGCGTCTTCTTCAACTCCAACCTTCTTAACTGGAATGCTTCTTTCCTTAGCCTTCCTCCAACCTAACATCCAGAAGCCTTGAAGTGGCAACACATTGCTAATGGCACTGTTCAGATTTTAGACCAGGGAGGATAAAATTATTGTTAAAACAAGAACAATTTATACACGGGATGCAGGGACCTGACTCTGGCTGTGATGCCCCACAGAATCGTTGCAGAATAACAAACCTCTCCAAAATATATTGTTTTAAAACAATAATTTATGATTCTGTCTCCCAGTGTTGCAGGTGTCCTGCACTCATATGGTAGTGCATTTTGTGGTTCTAATCAGATGGTAGTGGGAAGTGGAGTTTCCTGATGGGCGCTTTCCTCGTGTCTGACTCTTCACTTGAGCTGGATGAAAGAGCTGGGGGCTGGCTGGTTGTTTCTCTTTACACAACCTTCATAGCTGTCTTAGACCTCATCAGCTCACTCAGGCTTCATGGCTTCCATAGTGATCCCTTGAAAAGCCCCAAGCAGAAGGTGTAAGGTGTAATAGGACCTCGCTCTAGAAGTCATGCAATGCCACTCCCTTCACATCCTAGTGTTCAAAGGTGAGTCAGAGAGACAGCCATAATCATGTGGAGGAGACTATACTAGGGCACGGGTATGACTTGTGGTTCATAGAAATCATCCTAAGAGACTAGCTACTGTTCCACCCTCAGGCCCCAGAGACGTTCACACTTCCCACAAACCCAAAACACTGATTACTTTCTATGGAATTTCCAAATGTAATACAATTACAGCAATAAGCTTGGGACAGAAGTCCAGCACCTCACCATCAAAATCAGGGCCTGGTGCTCATGAAGTGAACTGATTATAACTTCTCAGGTGCAGTTCCTCTCAATATGTGCATTAAAGAGACAAAATGCCTGCCTCATACATGCCAGACATACGTGCTGAAACAGACACAGAAAAAAATGCAATCCACACCTCGATTTTAATAGGCAGCCATAGGAGGTGTATAGCAGCCACTGCTTCATTTCATATCTGAAAACCAGCCAGGCTCATATCTACCTTTTTCTTTGGAATTGTTTCTCTGCAGTAATAGCGTCCACCCTCCTTTCTCAGCTTCTTTGAGTTCCTGCCTAGATGTCAGAATGACTATTCTAGGGGCTCTGATAATCAGACTCTTAGCAAGTCTGGAGAACCACTTAGGAGACACATTACTTAGAAGAGATGATTCATAAAAATAGACCACGACAGATTTAAGAACATCTTCTGGAAATAGCCTCTTTCTCCACAAGGACTACCTTGGGCATCAATCACATGATCTCTCACCATGTCCATTGCCACAGCGTCTTCTTCAACTCCAACCTCTTAAATGGAATGACTTTCCTTAGCCTTCCTCCAACCTAACATCCAGAAGCCTTGAAGTGGCAACACATTGCTAATGGCACTGTTCAGGCCTTTCTTCTGGGTTTCATTTCACACTGGAATGAAATTTCCCCCTCACTACCTGTAAACTCCTGAGTTCTGATTAGGCACAATCTTCTCCTTTCAAATACCAAAAATAGGTGTCCCCCCATTGCCTCCCATGTCCTCACCTTCCCAAGCAAACCACATTCTGAATTTGTTTATCATTCATTGTTTTTATTTATGATTTTATAGTCAACTACAGGCCTGATGCACGAAAATTCATGCAAGAGTAGGCCTTCCTTCCCCAGGCTGCCGGCACTGGCTTCCCTCTGGCACCCGGGACCCGGGCTTCCCTCCTCCAGCCTCCGGCAGGCACCCAGGACCCAGGCTGCTTCACTCCTCTGGCCGCCCTCAGACACCCGGAACCCGGGCTCCTTCCCTCCTCTGGCCGCCCGCAGACACCCGGGACCCGGCCCTCAGGCCCCCGCTTTGCCAGGAAGGATGACCGGAATAAGTCTGGTCTAATTAGCATATTACCCTTTTATTATTATAGATGTCTGCAAAACAATTATCAAGAAAACTATAATTTAATAGAAGACCTGACCTCGTGGATACACACACCTTATTAAAGGAGAATCATTTAAAAAAAACTTTATTGTTGAAAGTGTTAAATATGTCCCCTCTTTTTCCCATTGACCTCTCCCACTCTGCCCCCACCCCCAAGCCCAGGCCTTCACCACCCTATGTCTGTGTCCATTATGCATATACGTGTATGAGTTAATTGGTTGATCTCTTCTCCCTCCTCCCCTGTCTTCCCTCTGAGGTTTGGCAGTCTGTTCCATGGTTCTGCCTCTGGGGCTATTTTTGTTCATCAGTTTATGTTGTTCATTGGATTCCACATAGGAGTGAGATCATGTGATACTTATCTTTCTCTGACTGGCTTATTTTACTTAACATAATGCTCAATGGAGAATAATTTTTAAAAGATTCAAGTTCTCGCCCTAGCTGGTTTGGCTCAGTGGATAATGCGTCAGCCTGCAGACCAAAGGGTCCCTGCTTTGATTCCAAACAAGAGCAAGTACCTTGGTTGCAGGCTGCTCCCAGCCAGGCCCTGGTTGGGTCTCGTGCAGGAGGCAAGCAATCAATGTGTTTCTTTCACATCGATATTTCTCTTTCTTTCCCTCTCTCTTCCAGTCTTTCTAAAAAACAATGGAAAAATATCCTCAGGTGAGGATTTAAAAAAAAAGGTAGAGATATTTCTTCTTATAGAAAAAGATAAATAACTGGTTTGTTTAGACTGAAGTTGACCCATTAATGTATTTGGAAATGTCTCTGAGTTTGACAAGATTTGGATCACAAACCTTTTTCAAGAGTTGTGGATGTATTATCCAGCACACTGAAGATCAATCCCAGCCATATCCCCTCAATTAGGGCACTTGGGGAAGAGGTATTCATCTAGACTGCTGGGGTGATCCTCCCTAGGTAAGGAATATCCTATCTAATAAAAGACAAAAAGGGTAATTGTCCGTACCTTCGCTATGCTTCCCATTGGCTAATCAGGGCGATATGCAAA